CCTGAGGGTGCGGAGCCTGGGGGTGCGGAGCCTGGGGGTGCGGAGCCTGGGGGTGCGGAGCCTGAGGGTGCGGAGCCTGGGGGTGCTGAGCCTGAGTGTGCGGAGCCTGGGGGTGCTGAGCCTGAGGGTGCAGAGCCTGGGGGTGCTGAGCCTGAGTGTGCGGAGCCTGGGGGTGTGGAGTCTGCGTGTGCTGAGCCTGGGGGTGCTACACCTGAGCGTGCGGCGCCTGGAGACCCTCCCTCTTCAGAGCAGCTGCTTGAGTGGTACTCGCGGTACTGCGGCCTTCGGACACCTAGGCGGGAGCTCCCCTCTCTCCAGCAGCTCCGAGAGTGGTACGCTCGGCGCTGCAGTCTCCGGAGTGGAGCTGCTGCTGGTGCTGCGGACCCTGGAGTTGGAGCTGCTGCTGGTACTGGAGACCCTGGAGTTGGAGCTGCTGCTGGTGCTGCGGACCCTGGAGTTGGAGCTGCTGCTGGTGCTGCGGACCCTGGAGTTGGAGCTGCTGCTGGTCCTGCCGACCCTGGCGTTGGCGCTGCTGCTGGTGCTGAGGACCCTGCCGCTGGTTGGAGCTACTGCTGGTGCTGCGGACCCTGGAGTTGGGGCTACTTCTGGAGTTGCTGCGCGGCCCCGGCCGTACTTCGTTCCGCTCCTTCAGCAGGTTCTTGGTCAGCCTCCTCCTCCTTGTCCTGCTCCCTCCTTAGAGTGTCCTCCGTCTGTCCTGTCGCAATCACAGTTACCGCCTGCCTCGCCACTCCCTGGTCCTTCTCCTTACACTGGTCCTACTGGAGGTCTTACGGAGCGTCGTGAGCCTGAGTCTCGTCCTGTGTCACCTGCGTCTCGCTCTGCGTCACCTGTTCGTGCTGCTCGCACTGGTCGTCGTGTCCCGCGTCAGCGTCCTCCTGCTGTCCCAGGCACTCACCAGATGGTGCTCCGTCGCTCCACTGCTCCTCAGCGTGTCCCTCTGCCGTCTCCTCCTGCGTCCTCTCTTCCTACTCTTGCTGACCCGGAGTCTGACTCCCTTCGTGCTGCCCGTCCTACTGTCACGCGTCTCCTCGCTACTGTTGTCACTGACCCTACCTTTGAGTCCTCTGCTGCGTCTGCTCTCGTCGCTGAGTTAGTTGACTTTGCTGCCGCTTGTCGTCTTGACTACGCCGCTAGCCTGGTTGCTGAGTCTGAGACTGTCTGTCCTCCGTCCGTCGGGGGTGAGTGTGCTCTTGGCACGGACGTCCTTGAGGACAGGCAGGAGGAGTTCTAGTGCTTTACTGCTGCTTTGCCTCATCTCGTGTCCATGCTAGTTGCCCCTGAAGGAGACCCGGATGCACCAGACATCCCGACCCCGCGCTCCTACGCAGAGGCGATAGAGGGTCCCTACTCCTCTCAGTGGTAGACAGCCATGGACGCAGAGATGGCTTCCTGGAAGTCCACAGGCACCTACGTCGACGAGGTTCCCCCACCAGGGGCGAACATCGTCAGTGGTATGTGGATTTTCAAGGTGAAGCGGCCGCCGGGTTCTCCGCCTGTCTTCAAGGCGCGTTACGTTGCTCGAGGCTTCAGTCAGCGAGAGGGAGTAGACTTCTTCCAGACCTTCTCCCCCACCCCGAAGATGACCACTCTTCGGGTGCTGCTGCACATAGCCGCTCAGCGCGACTACGAGCTTCACTCTCTTGACTTCAGCACAGCTTTCTTGCAGGGCAGTCTGCACGAGGAGATCTGGCTGCGCCGCCCTCCTGGCTTCACTGGGTCGTTTCCTCCTGGTACCCAGTGGAGCCTCCGGCGGCCGGTCTACGGTCTCCGCCAGGCGCCACGTGAGTGGCACGACACACTGAGGACGACACTTGCGACTCTTGGGTTCGCGCCTTCTACTGCTGACCCGTCGCTGTTTCTGCGCACCGACACTTCGCTGCCGCCGTTCTACATCCTCGTGTACGTCGACGACTTGGTCTTTGCCACTGCTGACACTGAGGCTCTCGCCCACGTGAAGTCGGAGATGCAGAAGAGACACACGTGCACAGACCTGGGTGAACTGACAAGCTATCTTGGCTTGCGGATCACCCGGGACAGAGCACGGCGCACCATTACCTTGACTCAGTTACACATGGTGCAGCAGGTCCTTCAGCGCTTCGGCTTCACGTACTCCTCGCCTCAGTCCACTCCTCTGCCTACCGGTCACTCGCTCTCAGCTCTGCCTTCGGATGAGTCCGTAGAGCCGAGTGGCCCGTATCCAGAGCTTGTGGGCTGCCTCATGTACCTGATGACCTGCACTCGACTTGACCTTGCATACCCTCTTAGCATCCTTGCACGCTATGTCGCTCCTGGCCGTCACAGGAAGGAGCACATGGATGCCGCTAAGAGGGTGTTGCGCTACTTGTGCAGTACGTCGGGCATGGGGCTAGTGCTTGGAGGGCGAGACCGAGTTGTGCTCACTGGACACTCAGACGCTTCTTGGGCTGACGACCAGGCTACTCAGCGGTCGTCTCAGGGTTACACCTTCAGCCTTGGTTCTGGTTCAGTTTCTTGGCGTTCTACACGCTCGTCTTCTGTTCTCAGCTCCAGTTGTGAGGCTGAGATCTACGCCACAGCCATGGCTGCACAGGAGTTACGCTGGCTCACCTACCTGCTGACCGACTTGGGAGAGCGGCCTCGTTCTCCTCCAGTACTGTACGTCGACAACAAGGCTACCATTGCCTTGTGTCAGGAGCATAGACTGGAGCACAGAACGAAGCACATCGCTCTGCGCTACTTCCTTGCTCGAGAGCTGCAGCAGCGCGGTCAGCTTCGTCTCGCTTACGTGGCCACTCGGGCCAACACTGCTGATGTGTTCACCAAGGCGCTTCAGCCTTGTGATCATCAGCGCTTTTGTACTCTTCTAGGCCTTGTGCCTACTGGGCCTCACTTGCTTACTTCTTGACTCTGTTTGTACTGTGATCTCTATATATATTCCTGCATGCTTACACTTGCTAGGTTGTGATCACTGTACCTCTTGTTGTGTTATCAACCTGCATGTGAACTGGTCTTGTGACCACTTGCTTGTGCTCAGAATTTGTGTGGTATCCTTGAGATCCACCCTGAGCTTGCTTTGCTTTGCTTTGACTGGTCTTGTGACCATCTAGTTGTCTCCCACTTAGCCTATGGGGGTGTGTCAAACATTATATATGTTTATATTGTGTAGGCTATAGTGGGTTTAGCCTTAGGGGGTACAACATTGCTAGGGTTTCCTACTTGTATCCCCCTCTTGTCTAGTTTCATCATTCTCGTTCTTACTTAGTTTCTAACACCTTCCCCAACGTGTCGTCCGTAGTTTCCAGAGCCAAACTAGCCAAACTGCCTTGTGTTTTTTATTCTTAAACTTACGATCGCCTCAGGGGCAACATAGATCAAGGTTCACGCTAAGTTAGGGGCACGGTTTTATTGTACGGTTGGTTTGGATTAGGGTTCAGGTGGACGAAACGATACTATTTAATAATTTAACGGTCGATATACTGATATAGCATGGCGAAGTTCAAACAACTGGGAAGTAAGAACGCCAAGGGCGGAACAGGGGGGGCGGGAGGAAACCACCGTGGCGATCATGCGGGAAGGGCGGAAGTGGAAGACGAGGTGGAGACAGCTTTAGGGCGCCGCAGACTTCGTGCTATTGCTGCAGCTGCAGAGGCGGCACGCTTGCAGGAAGCGGCCGATGACAACCTCGGTTCAGGCGGGAAACGGGTAGACCACGGCGTGGGAGTGAAGGAGACGGGTACGGTTCCTCCTCCACGTGGTAGTGGTTGTATGTGGGGGGGCGGCGTTGAAGGGAGGGCTGAGGGGGAAGAGACCACTCCGGTTGGTGGTCGTGGCGAGGTTGGGGAGGATGTGGAGAGGGAGAATGGTTGGGGTATGCACGGCGTTATAGGCGATGCTGATGACGGCGAGTTAGGGACTTCCGAGGGCCTTGGTGACAACGGCATGGCTCGAATGGAAAGGCGAACCGTTGACGATGAGATGGTTGATTTGGTGGAGGAGGAGGGAGATGAGCTTGGAGATGGTGGAGGTGTCGGTGGGAGGAAGAGGAGTCGTGGTGATGGGGAGGGCGGAACGAAGCAACGTGGCGGGCCGAAGGGTGGTGGTGGGGGGCGGAAGGGGAAAGGGAAAGGGGGCAGGGGTCGAGGTAGTGGAGGAAGTGGGTTTAGGGTAGGTGGGGGGAGCGGATTGGGCAGCCAGCCAATGCCTGGCCCTTCAAATCCATCGGCTGCCACCCATGCCCCCACATCCACAGCAACCCCCACACAGGCTGTGAAGGGGAAGATTCCTCGCTGTTTTGAGCGGCCCGTGCCCGACAGACCGGACAAGAAGCGCCGGTGCCGCAAATGCAACAAGTGGATCAGCTTTGCGGGGGGCACGAACTCAACAGGAGAGGGGCACATGATGTCCAGGCACAGGGCACAGTGGGACATTTGGGTGCGGAAGTGGAAGGCGGGGGAAATTGGGCCGAATGACTACTTTCCTGAAGGCGGATATGGGACAGGTGAAGTTCCGGAAGGGAGGAACCCCTGGATAGGCTCGCAGACGTGGCCTGCGCCGCCTCCTGTCCATGGTGCCTCGTCAGGCTAGCAGCCGATGACAGCGTACTATGGGGAGCGCTTTGACAAGAATGCCCTGCAGCAGGCGCTGATTGAGTTCGTGGTCGGGACCGACCAGCCCTTCAGCGTCGTCGAGCATCCCACGGTGCGTCAATGCCAATGCCACCTATCCTCTTCCAATCAAGTCAACCCTTGCTTTGCTGCCCTCGAGCCAAAATCATGCATGGGATTGCTGCTCCTCTTCTACATGTATAACCTCAAGGGTTCTTTACCTTCCCACACCACACGCAGTTTCTGCAACTCATGGTCACGACCAACCCCCAGTGTGGCAAGGAGCGTGTCATCCCGACACGCACCACGCTCGCTCGCCAGCTCATGCGCCTGGCTAAGTTGGCTCAGGAGAGGCTGAAGGCGGAGCTTCATGCTGAGGGTGTTGGAGCGGTGGCAATGACACATTACATTTGGACCGGGGCGGACCATAGGGCTTACATGGCAGTTACGGGACATTGCCCGACAGATGACTTTGAGCTCAGACAGGTTACCCTAGATTTCAGGGTGATGGAGGGTGTGGTGCGCGATTGGGAACTGGAGGGGCGCACCATTGCGGTGACAACGGACAATGCATCGTCCAATGTCGCCGCAATGAAGTACTTGTGCCGGGGAGGACCTGGAGATCGGCAGCCTCGCTTGTTCTCCTCGGGGATGCACGTCCGGTGAGCGCACAAAACGCACCCACACACTGCACGTGCTTGGTTTGTTTGTTGTGTCCGTATTTTGACGTCTTGTGTTGGAACCCATTATGACTTAACACCCAAGAGCCAAGGCATGTGCCCTCAACGTCCCCCAACAATTGCACACGTGCCTCGCTCACATCTGCAACCTAGCTGTTCAGCTAGCGTTGAAGAAAGTGACCGAGATCGCACAACCTCTGGCTCTCCTCAGAGAGTTGGCGAGCTTCATTGGCTACTCGACAAAGAGGACAGGTGCATTCGAGGGCATCCAGAGGGAGGAGAACCAGAGGGAGCCGACCCGAGCGATCCTGAGGCTGCGTTTGGATAGCAAGAATCGCTGGGGTTCGACGTACCTGATGATCGAGCGCGCCCTGCGCCTCCGGCATGCCATCGACACGTTTGTGCGGCGTGCACCTGTATGATCCTGACCTAACCTGCCTAAACCCTGTCAGCGCATATTCATTAAGGATGGAAGTGCCTCAACTCAACCATCATTAACCCTCCATCCATGCTATACAGCCTTAACACGCGGTACACTCCACATCCCACTTGTGCCCCCATCCCATCTCAACCCTTTTCAAAACCAACAGCATTGCAACGCTAAGGACGCTGCACAGCTGCAGGGACTGCAGATCACAGACGACATGTGGAAAGGTTTGAAAGAGCTCGCCACCTTCCTTCGACCCTTTCACGCTGTCACTCTTGCTGCTGAGGGATCCACCTACCCCACCATCAACAGGGTGGTCCCACAGTTCAACGAGCTCCTGGACGAGCTCGAGAGGATGAGGGATAGCACGACCACTCCACCCTCCCAGGTCTTGCTGGGATGCATTGAGGCCGCCCTGGGGAAGCTGGCAGAGTACTACGACGGCAGCAGCGACGAGCTGATGATCGCCACATTCCTGGACCCAAGCTTCAAGCTCGGGTACTTTGAGCTGCCAGTGGACGAGGAAGGGAGGGAGGATGGGGGGGGGACGAGGGAGGGGGGAGAGGGGGAGCCAGCAAGGGTCGCCAACGTCGCACATTGACGCTGGGAAGGTCCTTGCCACTGTACGAGCAGCGTACCGCCCGTACTTAGAGAAGGCGCGGCAGGCCAGGGAGATGGCGGAGGGGAGAGAGGGGTTGGTGAGGGTAGGGGGCCAGAGGGCATTGGCAAGCACCAGCAGCAGGGCTGTGGGGAGCAGCAGCAGGGGGGGAAGGGGCCTGGGCACCAATGCCTTTGGTGGACAGGATGGAGACCGTAGGGGCCTGGTGGCTCGTCTGGCGGCGTACCGCGACCGTCAAGCTCCGGCGGTCACTGACGAGATTCAAATTTACTTGGGGGAGCGTTTAGAGTCACTGGACACTGACCCGCTCGCGTTCTGGCGCCGCAGGACAGACCTTGTGGGTCTTCGGGCCATGGCCTTGGATTACCTGGCCATCCCAGCTACGTCGGCTGCAAGCGAGCGCCTATTCTCACATGGACGCAACCTTCTTCATTGGCAGCGGCATAGGCTTGGGCCTGAGCGGGTGCGGGCATGCATGATCCTCAAGTCGTTCTTCGACTTGCATCCAGGTTGCCAGCTTGGGAAAACGGCCAAGGTTTGCTTGGAGAAGGCAGAAAACGAGGCAGTTGGATTGGAGACGGAGGACGTCGTGTGAGGAGGTTGAGTGTGGGAGAGTGTGTTTGCCGGTCCGTGGTATGTGGGATGGGAGGTGGTATGGTAGGTTTGTTTTGAAGTTTATTAATGCAAACCTATGGTCGTGCCGTTGCTTTTGTGCCTGCAAACTTCCCCAAACGCTCACCAGGGCGCCAGACCTGGCTTCCCTAGCCATAAACATGCATGCATGGTAGACTAATTTATTGTTATGCCATTGCCCGCATGCCTCTGCTGCTGAAATGCGACTAGATCGTGTGCATCAAATGCGCACTGCTGTTTTGGAAGGGTCCTAGATTTGTCGTAGTACATGGCGTGCAATAATGTAGGATACACACCACGCACATAAAGAAGCCTCATGTCCAGCTTTTATATGATGCATCCCCTCTGCCCCCTCCCACCGAGTCGAGTTTAACTAGGACTCGACCGAGCGTATGAAAAGCCCCGGCCGAGTTTTTTAAAACTCGCCCTTATATAGTCGAGTCTCGAGTCTAGTACCTGGGCAAAAAAACTCGACCGGGTTTCACCCGACTCGAACTCGAACCCGGTCGAGTTTTGGCCCAGACCGAGTCGAGTTTTACCCGACTCGGTACATTGCCCATGTCTACACGCACCCCTCGTGTACGCAATCATGCGGGACCGTCCTTTTCGATCACGCTGAACCCTAAACTCGAACGTGCACGCGTCTTGTTGCGATCATGGGCCTTAGGCCCTCGAGCAACAGTATACAATCACACGCGTGGGCTTGTGGGGCCACACGCGCATGTCAGGACCAGGGCTGACAAAGCAAGGGCATATACCCTTAATGCCCTGAACATTCCGGGTGAAGTTCAGAGAATCTCGACCATTTAAAGTTCTTGATTCGCATGGAGCCCATGACGGTTAAGGGCTCTATTTGGGTCTTACCCTGAATTTAAGTACTGAATTTTACTTGAAGGACCCCCCTCCCCTGCCCCCCGCCCCGACCCCCTTCATCGTATTCACGAGAAAGTGCCAGGTGTGGTGTGGGAGTAGTGGCGAACAGACACACTTTGCCTTAGCAGACAAGTGCACGCTCGATCACATTAGCCTAACACTTGAACTTAGTATTTTATTCTGGTAACCTCAAGTCACTCCATTCCAGAGCCCGGATTTCAAGTACTGGCTTTGGCCTCCGCACGTGAAAATACGGGCAAGATTTGGGGCAGCTGAGGGCTCCAAGTTCTGGCCCCAAACACTTCGACAGCCCTGGTCAGGACCGTGCGCATGGGCGCGCTTATTGTCCAGCGCGAAACCGGTCAAAGGGCCCGGTCAAAGACTCGGCCCCACCACCCCGGCACACTCGACTCTCACGATGAACAATCATAAAAACTTATGAACAAATTGAAAACATTCATGAACAAAACACAAATTGTCATGAACAAATATGGACGCATATGAACGAACATAAAAACACCATGAAAGCTCATGTAGCTTGCACGAACAGCACGCAAACAAACATGCACGACATGCGAAGGCTCATGAAAGCACACGAACACTCGGAACTCCACGCACATTCATGACGACTCACGAAACACACACGAAAACCTCACACCAAAATGCACGTATCTTTTGAACCGCTAAGGCAATTCATAAGCATAAATGACAATCACACAAATACGCGTCACACACACAAAATTTTACCTAAAAAAATAAAACTATTCAAGTTTCACCTTGTCGACGCATAGGCGATATGTTGACGTGCAATTTATGCTTTTCACCCAACAGCACGTGGGTGAAGCAACAGTCTCTGTGTGACCGCGGGTGAAAAGCTAATTTGATACCATGATTTGGTTCTATCAGTGTGTGTATTGTATGTGTTTCCAAAAATAAGATATGTTTTTTCAACACCATGGGTTGCATTGTAGGATTGCCTTTTAAGCATTTCTCTTTTCAGTTGCTGCAAGTCGAACATTAACCTGTTTCAATTGCTGCACCAGCATCTCCACCGTTGATTTCTTCTCCTTGATCATTTTAGCAGCCACCGCACCACACTCTCCTCTGCAACAGCAAGTCCCCTTCTCCTTCTCAGGTGCCACCTCACTCCATGGCACCATCGGCACATGCCACAATTCATCATACAGGTCCTTGTCCTTGTGTAGGTCCCATAGCACACAGTCGCCGAGCTGTCCCCTGAATGTTTGAGCTCCACTGTGCACATATTCGCAAGACCCATTTTTCTCAGGGAAATCAAGTTCCCCTTCTGCTCCGACACCAAGAGCACATCGTTCGGAATGATCTGCTTCCCATCAGCTCCTTTAAAGGCTGCCTTGCCAACCCCATCAATCTCATCTTGTGCCCGCATCTTGAATTCATTTCAGCGATGCACGTTTTTTTTATCTCATCTAGCCGGTATATTCTCAGGGTCATGTGACACGCTGCTCCGGATCTAGATCCAAGTGTTGAGAAGAGTAGGCTTTGCTCCCTCCTTGGCAGATGCTTTCTCACTCCCCCCATTCCCTTGCACATGGAAGAACTGCCATGGAGCATGCTCAGAACATTTTCCCTGCATATGGTGGGCTAGTGGAGAGCCAAAAGGAAGTGGTGGACTACGAAAGTTTTGAGAGAAAGATATGGGTTGGGTTGGGAGATTTTGAGAGGAATAGGTGGGTTGTGGGGAGTTTCAAGAGGACGAGGTGAGTTGGTTGGGGGGAGTTTCGAAAGGAAGAGGTGGGTTGTGGGGAGGGACGAGTGGAAGAGGTGGGCTGGGTTAGGGACGAGCACGAGAAGGGGGGCTGGGTGGGAGAGTACAGAGAGCCGGTCAGGGGGCGGGAGATCGGAAAATCAATTTTCGGCAGAATCAGCGTTGGGTCTAACCCCCCCCCCCCCCCCCCCCACCCCCCCCCCCAAAAAAAAAAAAAAAAAAAAGTACATAAACAAAGGCAAAAAATTCAGACAAGGTACACACAAAAACAAACTTTGGAATCAGCCTAGGGTAAAAAAAGAAACCTGAATTTACGCTGAATTAGCGTGAAAAGGCTGAAACTTAGTGCCCTGGATGCAAGCAATGAGGTTCGGGCTAGCCTCGAAACGTAGGCCGACTCGGGCCAGGCCAGCTATGCATGGTTAGTCAAATGCAATGCGCGAAGGCAGCGAAAGCCTAACGCGAAAAACCGTTAGTCGTGTACGCAATGTTGAGCCGCGAAGTTAGGAATGTCGAAAACTTCCTTACACTACCCCCCCCCACACACCCTTCAAGAAGCCCCTCCGCTACGTCACTGCGTGTATATTGCGGAATTCCCAGCTTCGTTGGTACACTCGCAGGGAAAGATGATTTTCGATGTTGGCCAGGGGCACCCACCTGTCCTCAGTGGGGGTGCAGTCCTTCCAGCGAACGAGGAACTCAATCCTCCTAATTCTCGTAGGGTGACGAATCCAATGGCTCATAGTTTTTTTTTTTTTTTTTTTTTTTGGTCAAATATCGGCTCTGATGCAAGACGCGTCATTGATGGTGGGCGATGGCGTGGCAGTTGGCTTATGATGGCGATGTACGGGCAGAGTAGACTGACGTGAGACGATGGGCTGAGGTACCAGTCGGCAGGTAACAGAAGATGGGCGGTGACAGGTATTATCATGTGGCTTATTTCAGATGGGCCATTGTAATGCGGGCGAAGTTTCAGCATGATGGGCAGGCATAAGTTTTGTGTTTAGAGCAACACGTAACCTTCTAACTGGCATGTCACAGGGTGGGGTGGCAGTCGGCGTTCCTTTTAGCAATGATGTTTGCTTTTATGATTGCGTCCGTTGCGCCATGTTCGGGCAGCTTGTAGGATCTCGGCGAACTGTTGTGCGCGTGGCTTTGGGTTCTCCAGACTCAGCGTCATGGGCACTGTAGGGTTCTACTCGTAGTTCAGATAAAATGGTGATAGCTGCACCGTCGCGGACGTGACGTTATTGTAGGCGAACTCAATTAGCAGCTATTGCTGCTCCCAAGTTGTCGGATTGTCGCACATGGCACGAATCAGATGCTCCACGGTCTAGTTTGTCTGCTCCGTCTGATCGTCGGTCTTGGGGTGGTACAATGAGTTGAGCTGTAGACAGGTGCTGAACTGCTCTCAGAGATGTTTCCAAAAATTGCTTGTGAACTTCGTGTCGCAGTTGCTGATGATTGTGGCTGGTATCCCATGCAGGCGAACGATGGTCGCAATGAACAGACGAGAGGTTTCGTCAGCTGAGATCGGTGTGAGCCATTTTCGTCAATCGGTCAACGACAACCATGATCGCGTCAAAGGTAACCCTGAGACAAAATCCATTGTAACTTGCTGCCAGGTGCGCTCGGGCGGCGGAATCAGCTGCAGTTGACCCGCCCTTTTCTTGCGAGAGCACTTCATCACCTGGCACATGGGGCACAATCCTACGTGGTTCTGTACATTGGTCAACCGCTCCAGCCAGTAGTAGTACCGCTGCACTTGCAGTAAACTGCGCCATATCGGGGACGAACTGTCGCACGTAGTTGACATATCGGGTCTATTTCCCCTCCGTTGGTTGAAATAACGTGCCCTAAAAACCCCAATCCGTCCTGTAGAAACTCACACTTACAGGCTTTGGTCAGTAGGCGGGTCTCACTCAGTATTTAATAAACTGCTTCAATGTCCAGTAGATGTTATGTTCTGTCTGGGCTGTAGATCAGGATATCGTCTAAGTAGACAATTACACAACTATCTAAGAGCGGGCAGAA